ATAAGAGGAACTCTGAACCTCCCAGCTCTGCTTGAACCATGGGCACAAGCTTCACCAAAAAAATCCAGAAGTCTAATGGATTAATTTTCTTGTTTATTTTTTCCACCCTGAATGCTAGCTGCAAGCTCTTACTAACAACTCATTCACTTTTAAGACTATGGTATTTCACTGAGAGTCCAATATTACCAAAGCCATAAACTCATTGGATAACTGCTAACATGGATTCCACAAAGCCAAAACAGACAAGTGCATTTGCAGAAGCTTTGGAATAGCTACCATTACAATGTGTATTGTGTATTGTATTCAGCTGTCTCAGAATAGCTGAGAAGGGCAATCAGAGCATTTAGAGCGTTTAGAGTTATTCCTAAATTATATCAGGAACAGTTTTCTGCAAAACAGGTCTACCCAATATTAGCTCATTTTTTGAAGGATTAGTTTATTGCAAGACTTTAAACTTGCAAATATGTAGTTCGATACTCAAATACCACAGAAGCATTAATGGCCACTTTTGGAGGGAAATGTGCCAGGCTTTTCCAGCAAAAAGCAGCATCAAGTATAGCTGATTGCAACAGGGCTAGTTAAGCCCTGCATGCATGCAGCAGTACTGTTCTTCCTCAGTTAGACCAGCTCACTCAGGGCTCTTTAATTTGCCATGTTTACATCCCCACAGTCTTTGCTATTTTATATAATTTCCAGTAAAGCATTTTTCATCTGCTTCTCTTCTACCAAGTACCTATAACACTGTTTTATGACAGCCTAGTGATTGAAGAACTGCTTGGATTAGGAAGCATGGATTACGAAAAAAGTGCCTGATGACAGCTAGTAGCAATAATCCATCTTTGGTTAATTCCACGAGCTACTAACCCATGACCTGTTTTTTCTACAATAATCATGGATTATTGTTGATACCGTATTATCTGCAGCATTTTAGATCAATCCCTTGGGACCTCAGATGACTTCATATTTTCTCATTTTAATTATGCATACACAGTATAATGTAAGGATTTAGAGATAACAAGGCATGAGTCCTTGGGCTACTTTATTATATAAGAAAGAAAAAACAGATTTATTTATTATCTAAACAAGAAAAGAAGTAAACAGTAAAAATCTGCGCCCATGTGCAATGGGTCCTGGGACCCATCTGTTCACACTCCCTTGTGTGTTCACAATCTGTTCACATGCAACATCTCATGCTTACACAGCTGTGGACCCTCCCAAGGCTCTGACTTGTGATCAAAGAATAGTGAAGAGTAGCACAGAGCAAAAACATCTGCGCTTTACAGAAAGAGCACTGGGATGCTGTTTGTACAGCAGATTGAATGGCCTTCATAGTTACAACTTCCTTTCACAGCAATTTTACATTTTTGCATGTCAAGCCAGAAGAATAATCTTAACCCTTACGGTGAACCCTGTTTGCTCTCTCCATGAAGATTCTCATGCTGTATGCAAAAACAACCGACATGCAGTGCAGTAAAAGATAAAAAGATGCAAAATAAAGAGTAAAGAAAATTAACAATACTACAAGTCTATGTATCAAGTCCACCCAGCCCCGTGGAGAGTAAGTCAGAAAACAGGTTGCAGAGTAGATGCTGATTTAATGAGAAAGAAATAGAACCTATGTTTTATGGGTATGTGTGGCAGGAAACAAGCAAGATGTGAGAGCCTTATTATACTGCTTATATACTTATATTATACTGCTTATTATACTGCTATTGCCTAATTAAAAAAACTGTAGTTATTAATCTCAGTTAGGGATATTAAGTGAAGTCAGTTAAATGTTATTTTCAAAAACTGAGGTGTTTTGATCTGAGTCCATTTTGTCCATAATACTGTCAGATCATCTGTAAGAAAACTACGGATTTATCATTCAGAAAAGTCTGAGGTCACTAGATACTACCTGAGACAGAAGTCAAACTCAGAAAGATTGTCCATAATGCAGAGACCCCCCCCCCACTCTTATCACTATGTATGGTGATGATAGATATGTATATATAATACTTATCACTCAAGTATTTCTATTTAAAAGGTTACACAAACTATTCAAAAACCTACATTTGCTGTTTGCATTGCAATCTGCTAAGCCTCCAGTGCAACTGAAATTAATTTCAGAGACACACTCAATTGTGGCATTAACCAACTGCAGAATACACAGTGATCAAGGACCACACAGAACCTCAGTGTCCAGGAATACGTTGAAACTTTATTCCAAGTTCACAGAATTTCTTATTTAGCACGGCTTTATCTCAAAGTGCTTAAACATCCTGCAGCACACATTGATTTTATTCCAAAAGCATGGAAGTTATCATTAATTAAAAAGAGGGAAGATGAAAGAAAGCAAGTAGAATGGTATAATGTGACTAACAGTATTCACACATGTCCTGAACAGTGGAACTAAATGTAATGACAGGCAACTGCATGGTTCAGTGCTTTTCCCGGGGCATTCCCAGTCTCCGAATATGTGGTGCACGTACTTTCAGATTCTTCCAGCTTTTTTTCCCATATATTATAGACAGAGAAGTGACTTCAGCTAGGTTAATTTTCTAAAAACATCTCCTACAGAGCAGTAAAACAACAGAATACCTCAAGGATTACAGTCCATCCTACCCAAGGCAGGTGAGAAATGAAGCAGCAGTAATCCAAGGAAGAGAATATTCAATTTTCTTTGCACTAGAAATGTCTGAAACTCTTTACTTCATACTGTCTTCACAGAAATTATACACTTTATTCCATACACACAGTTTCATGTGCCAAATATATGATTTTTATATCAAATACAGCTCTTTTAACCTGCTGTACATCTCCCTGATGTCTCTAAGATACTTCATTGAAGATTTACCCATATATGGCTTTTGCAAAGAATATATTGACAACAATTCACTTGGGGTATTTAGAAATGGTTAATTAATATTCTGGATAAAACAGTAATGTGAAAATGTGATAGGATAAGTCCCACTGTCTTTTAATTTCTTCACCTAAGTGGGGACTGTGGCACCCATCAGATTTCTGAAGCAAGAGAACTGCCCTGTGGTACATTTAGGCATGTACAGAAAGAGAAATGTAAATGCACGATTTTACTGTGACTCATCTGACCATAAATACAGTTATGAAGTTCAGCAGCTTTTAAGTCAAGGAGTGGCAATATTACTAATTTATTTTGAGATCATCTTAAGCACACGCTGCAAAGAACACGTGATAAGGGCAGAGGTCATAAAATTACAAACAACCCCTGCCACAAAAAAACATGCTGAACAGATCATCAGCCATCCAGGTTTCATAATTGCCCTCTGTCAAATATTAATTGGCATTCTTCTTCTTGTATTTCACTTGTCATTGTAATTAAGAAGAAGAAAAAAAAACAAAAAACTCCAATCAATTTAGAGCATTATCTTGAATTTGACTTCCTCCTTTAATCAATGAAGCAGACTCTCAGTGCTAACTTACAAGACTTTACACTTTACTTGCCGATTTCATGAGCACTTTCATACCTTGTTATTGTGTAAGAGACCTGGGCAGATAACAAACAAAACTATCTAAACAGCAACAGCAGGAAACTAGAAAGCTGATCAGATACACAAATGCATCATGCGCAGTAGGAGAATATACAAAAAAAAGATTATTTCTCTGTTTTAAGACAATCTAGTACCTCATTAGTAATACTCTAACAAAAGATCAAAAAACATTTTTCAAACAACATATTGACTTCAAATTGGTTTTTAAACTATTCTAGCAAAGACTAAAACATACTGACAGCACAATATACATCAGTGAGCTAATTCAAGGTGCTTTGTGTTTTGATGAAACTTCTCCTGAGTGAGCATCCAAGTCCTAGAAAGTGTAAACTATGTCTCATGAAAAGTAAAATATTCATTCAAGGGCAAACATTAACAAATACTGAAAATTCCTTGACTTCCTGGTTTACAACCTGTTCCCTCAGCTAAATGTGATTCGAGATAAATAGTTGTAATACGAACAGGATGTTCCAGCTGCTCTATACAAATTGTAAATTTACCATTCAGGAGAATGCAAGCTGTTCCTGAAACTTTAACTGCAAGATCAAGGATAATGGGTTCACTGCTATTCACAAAGTGACTTGTGAACACAAGAATTTGCAAGCGTTGGCGAAAGTGTCAGTGGAAATCCCAAAACAACAAGTGCTTCATTGCTCTGTACTTCTATAACACACACTAGTTAGCGGTGCGACCTGCTATCAACATGATAAGGGAGACATACAGTCCTGCACAGCTGATGCAGAGGTCAAAAAAGCTGCCACCTCTTTTCCTCAATAACTTTCTTGAAAAATATGCAGAGTCACGGAATATTTACTAAGGCTAGAAGAAAGGACAGAAATCCCATTCAGTAAGTGCAGTTGAATTGTTGCACGGGTGTATCTCCAAAGCATTGGAAAATTCTATATACGCAACAAAACTTCTAACATAGCCATACATTAAAACTAAATATAAATATTTATATATTTATTAAACTAAATATAAATATTTTTCAATTCTACATCAGTTTTCTAAAGAATGTTGGTTCACAGTTTAAAAATACCATAGGGTTTTTGGTTCTAATGAACAGACACTTCAAATGGAAAAAAACAAACAAAAACAGAAAAAGTTTCAAAGTTCCTGTTGAAAGAGAAATGTTATTGAATTAAACTCACAGCTTGTTTCAGACACATACAAAAGAAAACCTAAGAAACAAAAAGAAACTTATTCCAGTCCAAAATCCTTCCATGCAGAAATTAGCGTAATATTTGCCAACCACTGATCACTGCTTCTCTTTCAGAAAGTTTTTTTACCAGCATCACTACTTCTCTGTATGTTAGGAAAAGTCCCTTTAAGATACTTTTAAAAGTCCCCAGGTATACAATAAATAAAAAAAAGATTACCAATAGTGCAAGCAGTGCATTTCAGCACAATGAGAACCCTAGTCTACCCAACAAGCTGTCTTAGTTTGAACTTGTAAAAGAATTCACATTAAATGCACAGAAAAAATAATACCTGGTGAGCTCTTCTTTAATCTTCAAGGGTTCATGAGGGTAGAATTTCACTCTAAAGCACATGGTATATGGTGGATGAGCTGAAAAATCATAAAGAAAAAGCATGAGAACAGTAGCAAATAACATTGCCTTAGCCGCTCTGAAAAAGTGGCCTCCAAGAGTCCTACAAAGAAGCCTGTATGAAGGTTAGCTCTGAAGAATCAGGCAGGGAATTAAAAAAAATAAAATAAAATAAAATAAATGCACATTAAAAGAACAAAGTAAATGACAAAGACAAAAGGATGTGCAAAATGCAAGCAATCTACGCAAATCAATTTATACATGGTTTTGCACTTGACAAGCAGTACCAGAAAAAAAAAAAAAAAATTTGAACTGCTCTTTATTTTTATTTTTCTTTTTTTTTTTTTTTTCTTTTGGCAATTTATGAACAGGAAGAATTTTTATCTAGTTACAGTAAGGTATGAAGATGTTATGAATAATTGTTTTTTCTGGCAATGATAATGCTAAGATAACAAAAATAGAAGGAAACATTAATTAACTTTAGCTAAGGAAGTTAGAGAAAGAATTGTTTCTGTTTTCAGTACTTAATAAGACCCCATTATCTACTTCTATCACATCAGCCACGGGCCTTAAATACATTTTATACGCTTAGAGAGAAAGGCAGAGAGAAAGAAAGGGAGGGAGGGAGAAAGGAAGGGAGGGAGAAACAGTAAGAGAGAGAAGGAGAGAAAAAAGAGAAAGAGAGAAAGAGAAAGAGAAAGAAAGAGAGAAAGGGAGAGAGAGAGAGAGAGAGAGAGAAAGAAAGGAAGGAAGGAAGGAAGGAAGGAAGGAAGGAAGGAAGGAAGGAAGGAA